TAAAGGTGGCATTGCTGATATGCAAGTAGCTGATTGAGATTCTTTTCTGGCCACAGGTCAGTTGAATAGGGAAAAGGAAAGTGACTTCCAGGTAAAAGTTCCCTGGTTCCACCTCTCTCTCCCAAAATGTCCTATTTAGAGCAAAATACTTTCACTTTCTCTCTCTCAATAAATATATTCTGCTCTTCAACTCTGTTGTTCCTAAAATTCATTCTTGCACTTTAGAGAACACAAACTCATACCAGACATAGAAGGTCAGAAATTGCATTCCATTTTATCACGGTATGGTTGCCTGTATTTCTGACTAACTCAGCTGTCTGTAACTTTAAGAATTGTTTATCAATTTGACTTTGAGTAATTGTAGCAAATAAATGTTCTTAATGGATATAGGGAAATATATCATTAAATTGAAAAAATTTTTATCACAGTTTTTCTAGCTAGCATCAGCCAACATTTTCAACTTTCAAATATGTGGGAAAACAAAAACTAAAAACAACTCAGAAAATAGCAATCCTATAGGGGACAGTACATCATTCACTGTAATTGCCATGTTATCTGCAGGTATTTCACAGACCAAAAAAGAAACATTGAGCCTCTTAATTAACAAGCATAAGTTTCAATAAATGTGCTCACAGCACTGCATCGTTGACAACTGTGAATTTTTTTTTTGTATGAGGGATTAAACTCATGACCTTGTGCTCTCTAGGCAGCTCCTTGCATCACTGAGCTCAATCCCCAGCCCAAACAACTTTAGATACTAAATATGACTATTAACAATGTTTACTTTGCAATTGACATATTTAATTATAAATTTTGTAAACCTACATTTTCACGAAAGAAATTATTTTCTTACCTTGCAGTTTAAATTACATTTTTTTTAGGTACCAAGGATCAAAGTTACAACCTAGCACTTTCCAGGCAGGCATTTCTGCCTGCTGAGCTAAATCCCTGGCCTGTATTAATGAATATTTTTAAATGTATAAACATCAGTTAATTCACTCAAATACTACTTTTAGCACAGGATGTCAATGCAGAGAGAAACTGATATACAATCAGAGGAACTGGAACCTCAGAGAGTCAATGCAAAAAACTAAATACAACAATCACTGTTACAGGCACAGATGAAGAAAGCCAGAACTGAAGATGAAGATGCAGTGACCAGGTCTACATACTCCTGCAGAGAAAAAAAAAACAGCTTGAAATGTACTACAGTTACCACAACCTCCTCCAGGAAGTTCAGATAGGCATCAATTACCATACTCAATGACCAGAACAACTGGACTATCATTCCCACAAAATGCCTTGGCTCTTTCCACATACCTTTTCTGGCTGATTTGTTCCCCTGATGAATAATATTAGTTAAGCAGCTATAAGCTTATAGGTTGATTGTAGTCTGAGACACACACTGTACCCACATTGTGACTTTCCTGTATAAATGACCCCTGACAATAGGTCTGTGGCCAAAACACTGAAGACCACTCCTGAAAATCCAGGGATATTCTTCTCTCTTTTTTTCTAAGAAAATTTTTGATCTTCTTTTGGTTTGTAACTTCTTCACTTCTCAAAGTTGTGAGCCATTAAATTTGGTGCATTTGACATCAAACAGGGCAGGATTATATTTTTCTTATTTCAATTTAAATATGAAATGTCTGTTAAAGGCCATGTTCCAAAGCCTGGATTTCAATCTGCTTGTTTGCCTTGAGCTTAACATTTCCATGAGCTTTTATAAGTCCTCCATTTAGTGAACTGCAAATGTATTGGAGGAAGGAGGTCACTGTTGTGCTGTAGCACTATAGTTGTCATTCCTAAATCTGTGTTTGTCACTTCCTCCTGCATGCCACTACATGGCCTTCCTTCTTCTGCATCATCATTCAATAATTCCCATTTTGCATAAGTCAACTTTCACTCAGCTCTATTATTGATTTTTTAAATAGTCTTTCTATCACCTTGGTTGTTTATTATTTTCATTTTAGTTTTTTGCTTTAAAGACATAGTCTCACTTTGGAGTCCTGTCCAGCCTTGCACTCACTATGTAGGTTAGGCTGTCCTTGAATACATGGCCATTCTCCTGTTTCAGCCTCTTCATTGCTGGGGAAAAGAGGTGGGCATTATAGCACATGGCATTTGTCTTTTTCTCCTCTCCTTTAAACTACTATTCTTTTATTTCAGTGGCACTGTCATTTAATCTTGGTGTTTGCTTGTGTCAGTAAAGGTTTCTGAAGCTTGTGTTGAGTTTGTGAACAACAATACAGGAATCCAAGCAACTCATTTGAGAAATGTGGAATTTCATTAGATGGTCTCAGGACTACTTGTACACAGAACCCCCACACCCATTTCAAGATCTAAACAAGAGGCTTTGAACTGGAAAGTTACAGATGTTTTAAAAGATAGAATCACAAAAAGATCCTGTTGGAAATCATTTAGCTAGAATCTTATAATAATTTTTGGATGACAACTGTATTCTGCTTCTTCTGTTGAGCAGGTCAATTGTTTTCTTTGGGTATAGCTCATTTTGCTTTTCTCCTGGGACTTCTACCCTGTGATTTTCCATTTTTCAGGGTAAAATACAGGGCACTAGTTAAACACAAAGCTCAAGATGGCATCTATTATGACAAGCTACAACACAGCTAAGTTACAAGCCTCAATATTTTCTAGGGTAAAAACACACATATCTATAATCCCAGCACTCAAGAGGCTGACACAGGAGTGCTGCTTTGAGGTTAGGGCAATTCTGCACTCCATAAGGGGTTCAAATCTAGCTGACATACATAGAGAAAACATGTCTCAATAAAACAAAACTAAACTAAACAAATAAAACCAAACAAAACAGCTGAATGGAGACTGATTTCTTGAAATCTTAATTCCATATCTTGGGGATTAATTTTTTGTATATACACATTTTTTGAGACAGCAAATTTGATGCTATATTGCAACTCACAGCTAATGTAACAGCCAAATAGGAGCACTGATTCTTGTGCTGAGTCACTGCAAGAGTCCCTGTGCACTGTCTGTAATGCAGAGCTTATAGTGAGAACCTATAGGCCCAGCATCCATAAAGCACAGCGGCAGACAAATATCTCATCAATCACTCTGATGTACTCCCAAAGATATCTCTTCAAATTTCAATTAGGCCACTAAGTCCTTTGTTCTTAATATACTTAAGCAGCATTTTGATATTTCAATTTGGTTTCACAGAACAAAACATAAATAACATCAAATATGGTACATAAATAATAACTCAAATGTTCATGGAAAACTGCTGTATGTAAAAAACATATAAACAATGAAACCAAGTGCAAGCTTCAAATTATACCTCAGTGTCAACAAGTGATTACTTTCCACTCAGATAGAAGAAATATATCTTGGCAGGGTGATGCAGGAGAACTTCCTTGAGTTTGGGGCTAGCCTAAGTTACAGAGCTGTCTGAAATAGAGAAACCCTGACTGAGACACCCAACAGACAATGTGAAACTTGAAAAGTGACTGCATAAGACACTTTTGGTTTGCTTTAAAAAATTTAGCCATACAATATAGAAAAATTCCACAATGTTCAACATTTTCTGAGGAAAAATGTTGATATCATCCATAATATACAGAAAACACTTTCAGAGCTGGGTATTTAACTAGCAGCATGAAAACCTAACTTGCAAGCTTGAGATCATGAGTTCCATCCTTGGCACAAAAAAAAAAAATTTAAATTTTACCTTCATGATACTGGGTCATAATTTGAGATAATCAAAACTAGATCTCAAGTGAAGAACACAGAATTCATGGGTTGACAGGGATGTGGAATACCGATTGTTAGCAGAGCTGGTGTTATTCACCTCAAGGAAGAAATCATAATTCAACTTTAACTGCATGCTTACCCTAAGAACTACCTGACTTTCAGGGAAGACCCTCTCTGTTGTATGTCCTGTTATTTGCACACTGTGTCCTGCCAGTCACCTCCACATCCTTTTCATGCTCCTGTGATCCATGCTAAGCAGAAAACCCTTCATGCCTAGACTATTGATATCCCTGCACAGTTTCAATTTAGGGCATCTCCTTTATAGGAATTAGTAAAGTCCATTACAGAGCATTTCCATATTTAAACAATGTATATGATCAACCAAGCTATTAAATTAGCTCTTAATTCAGAGATAACACCCATATTCCTTTCCATTCAGAAGGATATCATGTATTTATATGTTCATGCAAATGACTACATTTAGGCATTTTTCAGTGAGAATTTAACAGGCACCCCTTTCTAGAATTTGTCGTTAGCAAGCACCCTTTACCCTGCCCTTGATGACACTTTTATATCTGCTTTTTTTCCTCAAAATTCAAACCTCTATGGATGTTCTCACAAACATAGTCTATGAGCACATGTGACACATGAAGTATGTTCAGAAATTCTTTGCACAGGAGTTCACCAGGTGTTTGGAAATCCTTCCTCCACTGAAGCACATCACTACACAACTCTGAATTCTCTTGATTTTGCCAACACCTGTCATGAGGTTGGAAATGTGAGAACATAACATACATTTAGGCAATCCCTATAAATACAAAAAAGTACAGGTTTAAGAAGTGCCATTGCGATATGAGGCCCTGCATTACATACATTAATAAACTTTAGAACATCAGGATTGCTGATCCCTGGAATAAGAGCAGAGACCAAGCTAAGTACTGCTGCTCCAGCTACAAAATGCATCAGAGTCAGGGCCTTTCCAAGCTCCTTCCGCTGCTCCTTATGATGGAGGTGCCAGGACAGTAGAAAATTTCAAAGATGATAATCCATTCTGATGCTATCATAGTTAATTCAGGGTTCTGGGGACACAGAATCACCCTTGTTCCCAGCAGGAGAAAAAGGGAAAGTGGATGACCCAAGGCCAATGCTAGAAGAGCTCAGGAGCTGACACTAACTAAATACCTGAGTCTACACACACCAGAACTGCTTCTAACCACTTGTAACTGTTTTTTCCCAATTCTGCCCTTTTTATGGGCTCCAATTCAAAGCCTCACCATTCCGTGGTTAGAGGGTCTCCCAGACTCTTTGCTGATCAGGCCACAGGACTTCGAAACCAGGAAATGAGATCCAGCAAGCATTCTGCTCCCAGTTTTGTATTCCAGACAGGTAAAAAATGTCTACACACCAGAAAAGACCCAAGAGACCTCCTGCCACCGCTCACCTGATTGGACATTTCATATAGCCCGCCTCTTCATCACTGATTGACTGCTGCTCAACTGTTTTCTTTCTGAGTCCAAAATAAACAGGGAAAGGAACTCCTTCCTGCAAGAGAGGATCCCAAATGATAGAAAGTAATCAGAGACTTCTGAAGCTGGTTGTCTTCAACAGTGTTGATCTCAACTACACAGAGGAATATGTGTACCAAAGTGCCTTACCTCAGGCTTTTCATTTCCAAATCCATTTCATTTCAAGGATAAAAAGAAAAAATAAACTAAAACTAAATTTCAAAACATATGAATTGTGGGGCAACACTGGTATATATGTTGCACACTGTCATCCAGGATCATTCACCCAGAGCACAAGACATCTGTATTCAATTTTCCTAAAAGTACTGCTATGTGGAGCTGAGTTAGTTAATTATGATTAGCAATGAGACAGGGCTGGGTCCTCTGAGGAGCCCATCCAGAAACCCAGATACCTTGCAACTATGGAGAAGATGGACAACTCCTGCTACGGGCTAAGCCTCAAGACAGAATATCAACAAATTCATCCATATGCTAAGGACTGATATTCTAAATAGTTCCCTAGCACTATGAGGAAGTCAGGAGTCACCATTCAAAGAAATGTATCCTTATAAAGACTGACATTTTAAATAGTTCCTATCATCCTGATGACTTCAGTAGTGACCCTCCCAAACCCCTAAGGGAAGATTCACTGTTGCCTAACAATGCCTGCTTCCTATGTGACTCCCTTCCCCTTTTGTTCTCAATTTAATCAACTTTACCTGAACTATTTATCTTATTGGCTACCATAGCTCTGTCCCATCATTTGCCCATCTGCATTGTGAGTTCCCAATTTTCCCACCCAACAAACCATCTCACCACATGATTTCACTTAAAGTCCTTGGAAAATAGTCTTTGCCCACCCAGTCAGGACACATTTGCTCTCTCTCACACAGCTTTCTTTCTTCCAATAATTATATTATCTGGACTTCTGTTTTTTCTAAAATTCATTTTTTGACTTCAGAGAACACAAACTCATACCAGACATAGTAGACCTTGAGTTTCATTAACCTATAACAATAACAGTGTGAATTTTTCTCTTTCTTGAAGTCAGAGAAATCTGTAAATGATTGTATTCTTAAATGTTGATCTCAGCTCTTAAGGAACATTTGCATTGAAAGGCTTTATCCCTGCCTTTTAGTTTTGCTTCTGTTTTCTGAATGTGAACTGATCTGTAGTTTTGTTTATGCTATCTTCAGGGCATTAAGGAAATGACTGGAAATTTTCCTTATGAATTGTTTACCACTAACCATGGGAGAAGACACATAGCAAAAATTCTTTATTTTCATTTCTTAATTTAAACTGAAGGGTGTACTTTAAAGAGTTTTGCCCTAAATTAAAGGACATCATGGTGGTAGTTCATCAGGGTGAAAGATCAAATCAGGGATGCTTACCCATATGGCTACTTCCTGGTTTTTCCCTGAATACAACTTCCTCATTCCTTTCCCAGGGGCCAAAAGAAAAGTCCAATCAGCTCCTTACATGACTTCAATGTCAGTGCCAGCACCACCAAATTTCAGATATAACCTATAATCCCATAATCCATCAGAAAAAAAGGCAAACCATTGGTGGCTTGAGGCTCCTCTCCACATTCTTTAAATAGAAAGGACACTGCTACTTTTTCTTATATTCTGTGAAAGGGTTTTGGCCCAGACAGGACTCTGTAGTTGGGAAAGCCTCAACCAGAAGCAGGAAGACCCTATCTCCCCTGCCCCTAGGAATTTACCTGTGACGCCATCCTCCCGCACCTGTAAATTTACCTATGGTGCCAAATCTATGACCAGTGGGCTACCTGTGCATCCCTAATGCCCTCCTTAGGTTCCACCCAAAACCGAGGCTACTTACACACCTCCATCCCACGTATCCGCCAGAGAGATCACTGGACTCCAGCAGTGGGGGGGGGGTGCCAGACATCTCTCTTCATGTTCTCGGAATGAAGGCCTCTTTTTGTTTTATATTTCTCATCTTTTGGAAATATTTTCATCTTTTGGAAATAATCCTATCATTGGGCTTCTCTATTGGGCCACAAAATCCTAACAGTACTGATTCTTTTCTATGTATGAAGCTAATCTACCTCCTCAGTAATTCACATGCTCAATGCCATGAGTATCCAATGGAAATTAATGCAGTGGGCTTTTGCTTCACTCTATCAGTGTCAATGCAGTGAATTTAATCCTAAGATAAAAATACATCTTCATACAAGTTTCAAAACAGAATTATTCATCAAAATATATATAGCCAAGGTCCAAGAGGCCTACAGACAGCTTTCAATAATATAATAGAAGCCTTCTAGAAACTGAAAAAATACAGTTTATCTAATTAAAAATTGTTCAATCAGCCAATAATGTAGAAATTTTTCTGAACAATTATAGGTGAACCTTCTCTTTTGTAAGATATAAACTAGTGCCATGGCAAAGTCTATGTCTTGCTAAATAATACAATCAAAGCAATTATTTTACACTTATAATGATTGTTGTATACAATTTTAGATATTGCCAGGACTATAATCACTGGGAATTGTATTAATCACTTGAAACTGCAGAAAAAGGAACAAATTTCAGACATTATAAAAGTATAGTCATGTTAATTTGGCTCATGTTAATGGTATAGGGGAATGAAACTCCTTACGTACTATATATCCGGTATGAGTTTGTGTTCTCTAAAATTGAAGAATGAATTTTAGGAATGATAGAGTTTAAGAGTGGAATATATTTATTGGGAGAAGGAAAGCCTCTGTCTGAGAGACAGGAAAGTTCTGAGTGGGTTGCTAAAGACTCTGTCTTTTTGAGAAACTTGTATAGAGTTAAATCATGGGGTTAGATGGGTCCAGGGGAGGGAAAAATGGGAATCTGAAAGTTAAGCATAAGGCGGGATAGAAATGTGGTTAACCAATAAGGTTAATTGCTCAAGTAAAATTGATTAAATTGGGAGCAAATGGGAGCAAGTCATAGTAAGTGGGCAGGTTTAAGAGCAGAGACTCTTCTTTTAGAGGGTTGGGATGGGGGCTCTTGAGTTCCTCAGGGTGATCAGAGAACTATTTGGACTGTTTCTCCTTAGCACTTGGTTTTATTTAATTTACCTTTTGTTTTGAGATTTGGCCCACAGCAGGAGGTGATTGTCTCTTCCAATCCTGCAAGCAATCTGAATTTATTTTCTAGCTCCTTTGAGGGGCAAGCCCTGTTGTTATAGGCAGCTGAGTTAGTTAGAAATATATAGCCAGGGAGACAGGATCAGGTCCTAGATGTAGCCAGCTCAGAAGCCCACATACCTTGCAGCTTTGTGAAGACAGATACCTCCTGTTATGGGACAGGCCTCAAGAGAAAATACCAAGCAAATGCATCCATGTTCTAAAAGTTGATTTTCTAAATTGTTCCCTGTCACCCTGCTGAAGTCAGGAGTCATCCCCCCAATCCCATAGAGGAGAATTACTGCTCTATAAAATGCCTGATTTCTATGACCTCGCTTCCCCATTTGTCTGCAGTGTAAATGATTTTGACTGAACTATTAATTATACTGGCTAAACATAGCTCTGTCCAAAGTTATGCCCATCTGCCTTGTGAGTTCCCAATTTCCCCCACCTTAAGCCCATCTCACCCCATGATTTTATTCTATAAAGTCCTTAGAAGATACAGAGTCCTTGACAACCCACTTATGACCCTTCCTGCTTTCTCAGACAGAAGCTTTCTGATAGGGTTTTCACTGTGGTAAATGAGAGAATATAAAGTAAAAATGGCCTTTATTGTAAGAAGGTGGATCACATGACCACTAGATGTCGGCCTTTTTCTACTGGATACATGGTGAGGGGGCTTATATCTACTTTTTGACTGTGGAGGTGCTTAAAGGTGTCATTGCTGATGTGCCAGTAGCTGATTGGGACTCTTTTCATGCCACAGGTAAGCTGCCTAAGGGAGAGGTAAGTGACCTCAGTGTAAATGTCCCCTGGCCTGCTTCCCACTGTGGTAATATCCTATCTAGAGCAAAAACCTTTCACTTTTTTCTCTCAGTAGTATATTCTGCTCTTTACCTCCTTTGTTCCTAAAATTCATTCTTTTATTTTATAGAACACAAACTCCTACCAGACATAGTGGGTCAGGAGTTTCATTCCATTATATAACTATCTGACTGCCTATATTTCTGACTAACAAAGTTGCCTGTAACATTAAGAATTATTTATTTGTTTCACTTATCATAATTGTAGCAAATAAAATGTACTTAGTGGATGTAGTGAAATATCCAATAAAATTGAAAAGATTATTATCACAGTTTCTCTATCATCACCAGTCATTTTCATCTTTCAACTATATGGGGAAAAATAAGAGCAGCTCTTAGCAAATAGCAATGTTATAGTGCACAGTGTATTATTCACTGTAGTTACCATGTTATTTATAGGTACTTCATAGACAACAAAAGAAACATTAAGCTTTTTAATGAACAACTATCAATTTCAATAGTTGTGCTCATAGCACTACAGGGTTGACAACTGTAGATTTTCCTTTGGTACCAGGGATTGAACTCCTGACCTTGTGCTTGCCAGGCAGGTGCTCTGACCACTGAGCTCAATATGCAGCCTAACATATTTGGATTCTAAATATGATTATTACCAATGCTTAATTTGCCATTGACATACTTAATTAAAAATCTTGTTAATCTACATCTTCAATGAAATTATTTTCTTTCATTGCAGTTTAAAACACTTTTTTTTTAGGTACCAGGGATCAAACTCACAACCTAGCACTTCTCAGGCAGGTGCTTCTGCCGGCTGAGCTAAATCCCAGGCACCCATTAAATAATATTTCTTTAAACGTTTAAACATTACTTTATCCATTCAAATAGTATTGCTATTTTACTAGAGGAGGTCAAAGTAGAGAGGAATTGATATACAGTCAGAGAGGAAATGGAAACTCAAAGGAGTCAGTGTAAAAACCTAAACACAACAATCCCTGCTAGAGGCAAACCTGAAGAAAGCCAGAAAGTGAAGATGCAGTGACCATGTCTACATGCCTCCTGAAGAGAAAAACAACAGCTTGAAATGTACTACAG